GTTAAAATTTATAGATCCATAGAAGTAACAAGATAGTTCCATGCTCAACAAAAAATGTAACCCCTCTGTTGATGCTTCTTTAACTCAGGCTTCAGACTGCTCCAGAAGAAAATCAGAATGCTTAGAGCAGACAAGAGAAGGCCTGCAATCTGAAGATCAAATCAAGTTTGAAGATGGGACATGGAAATTTTACTGTAAATCTTAACCCTTAACTGATGGAGTCAAGTCTCTCACTCCAAGAGACATCCTGGTTAGTCAGTCTTGGAGCTATGATGCGCTACCTGAGGATCCTGAAAACCATCTCCCACCACCACCTAGCTGCGGGTGAACAGAGGAAATCAACAGGCCCTGGAATCTGCGTCATCCTTCGCCCAAGTCCTGGGGTCACATGGACTAGGTTTAAATCCCAGCCTGGCAGTTTATCAGCTGTGAGATCTTTGCCAATCCCCTCACCTCTCTGAAGCTCCAGTCCCTGATAAGCAGATGAAGACAACCACAGATGTACTTCCTGGAGCTAGTCACAGGTTTACCAAGAGAACACCTGAAAGCATTTAGCACATGCCGACAAAGGAGCAGGTCACTGGGATGTAACATCCTAGCTAGGGAAAAAGGGACAGCTCCATTAGCACGGTGGCATTCCCCTGGGGGGCTGCCACCCAAGCATGGGAAAGATATGGAGGGGGTGGGAAGGTGGAGGCATGGAGAGGCAGCTGGGCAGGGAGCGGCCAGATGTTCCAATCATTTCACTTTCTGTTTGGTGAAGAATAAGCACATTCTCCTCAGAGCAGTTTTTGCTGACATCTGGGTTTCTATTTCAAAGTAGAAAAACGAAAGGAAAAATATTTCTTGATTTTCTTTCTAAGACTAAAGTGTCTGAGTGAATGCACAGAAAAGCATCAGGCCACAAATGCGCTGGAGAGGCCTGAGTGGCGCCGGAGCTGCCGGGCCTGGGCTGTGCCCAGCTCCACCCCATGTGAGTTTCAAGCTGGGCCTTCTCTCAGGAGCCTCCGTTTCCTCCTCTATAGGATGGGGGCGAGGGCACCTGCCCTGTGGGGCTGCTGTGAAGGCCTCGTGGGGCTCGGGGGACGCAACACAGTGCATTCCAGGGAAAACCTGTGATGTGGGTTTCAGCTCATCCGTACTCACCTTAAGATGGACTTCACAGACAGAGTTTTCGTGGGGCTGTAGGGAAGGCATATTTTCTGCGTACCCTGGGAAGTGAAAACGCTGAATCAGTGAGGACTGCGGTGACTCCCATCTCTGAGAGAGCCCTGCCTGGGCACTGGAAAGAAGCCATGTCTGGCCTTTCTTGGGCTCCTTCAGGGCCATGTTCAGAAATGAACGTGTTCTATGCTGGAACGAACCTTGCTCTGGCCGCTGGCATCTTCCACTGTCCCACTGCCCCTGCACACTCATGGATTTGAGCATGACTTTCCACACAGGGATCCTCAGCATCTTGGCATTGTGGAGGGGAGCTGAGCCATCTGCCATGGTTGGGCTAAGTGTCCCCTAAAGACTGTGTGTTTAAAGGCTCGGTCACCGGCCTGTTGTGCTATTGGCAGGGGGTGGAAACTTTAAGAGGTGGGACCAGAGAAGGAAGTTAGGACATTGGGCTGAGCTTCTGAAGTGGACTGTGGGATGTTGGTCTCTCTTTCTCTAGAGGTTCCCAGCTGCCATGAGGTGAGCAGCTTCCTCCATCTACCTACTCCTGCCATGATGTGCTGCCTTACCATAGGCCCAGAAGCAATGGGGCCAACTGACCATGAACTGAAACCTCCAAAATTGTGAGCCAAAACCTATTTTAAAGTTGATTGCCTCAGGTATTTTGTTATAGTAACAGAAAGCTACCTAAAACACCATCTGAACAGAGGAGAAGAGGGTTTATTTGGTCTCTGAGCTGAGAATTGGATAAGCCTCCAAGATCATAAAAAGAAAACAGTCTCCACTTGACATCAAGAGCCACATACAAGGTCTCCAACTCAAAGATTTTTTTTGGGGGGGGAGGCACCTGGGGATGGAACCCAAGGCCTTGCACATGCTAGGCAAATACTCTGCCACTGAGCTACATCCCCTCCTCTTTTTACTTTTGAGACAGAGTCCTACTAAGTTGCTGAGGCTGGCCTCCAATTTGCTATCCTCCTGTCTCAGCCTCCTGAGTTGGGATGTGTGACCATATCTGGCTTCAAAGACTTCTTGAACCAGAAATCATCTGACTCTTCAGAGGTTCTTCTTATGGGAAGAATTTTTCATTATTTGCCCAAAAGAGAAAGAGTTATCCAAAAGAGAACACTGAAACCAGATGAAACGGGAAGGTTGTAAGTAGCAGCCATAAAATAAAATATACATATAAGTAAATAAGTAAGTAAGTACAAAGTTGGCCAGAAAACCTCCTGCCCACTGCTCTGGATGAAGACACTGTTAACTTCTCACTAAGGTGCAGGCACTTGAGAAAAACTGGCATGCAGGGCCCCAACGTGGTCACCTCCAACTGTTGCAGAGTACTAATGACAGGACCCAACCCAGTTGGCACAGGAAGGGGTACATGCCAACATTTCTCTGTAGGAAATAATTTCACAAGACTTCACACCAAATAGATTTTCACCCTAAATCTGCTTCAAAAAGAAGAAATTCTGAATGTACCATAAAAGTATATATAAGGTAAAGGTGGCATATGTTGCTCAGGGATTAAGCTGGACTGGATGTCATTTATTAATTTACTCAACAACTTATTACTAGGGCCCTGCCTATGTGCCAAGCACAGAGCTAGGTAGTGGGATAATGAGGACAGAGAAGACATCTTCCTGACTTCCATGAACTCGGTCTAGTGGGCGAGGCAGTAGGAATCAAAGATTTACACATAGAATTAATTATGTGCAATGGTGACAGCTTGGCTCTGCTGGTTTCTGCCTGGTCTGCTACCAGCATGTGGCCTCAGCCATGTCATTTAACCTCCCTGACTTCGAGAGCGTCTATTGAGATAATGTACTTGGAGGACTTAGTATAGTGCCTGGCATGTGCTTGATAGATGTTAGATTTGATTACTATTACTACTCCTGTCTTAAAGCGCTATAAAAAGCTCCTAGCCACAAAACTGTGTGGAGACCCCTGGACATTCTTCTGGGCCTTTTGAAGTTACTGATTTACTGCTCTGTGTGTGTGTGTATGTGTGTGCGTGCGTGTGTGTGTGTGTGTGTGCAGGTGCATACTGTTTCCAACATACCATATGTTGTCTTTGAAAAATTCTTCAAGAAGGAAAGGGAAAAATACCAAGAAAAAAAATGAAAAGAATGAATGAAAGACAGGTCAAATATAAGGATTACTAGAAGGGTAATTCAGGAGACAGGAAAAAAAGCAGCCATCATGAACATGACATACGAAACTCTCCTGAGCTCAATGAAGAGTTGCACCTGCAAATTGAAGGGTTTCCTTTCAGCTCACTCTCCAGCTGGGTGTTTGGAAACTACCACAGGCAGTGGCTGCCTGTCCAGTTAAGTCTAGAGCAGTTTTTCTAAACTGCTAGACTGACAAAAGGGCTAAACCTAGAAAAGATTCTAGAAGTGGAGCTGATGTGGTGGTTGGCCGAATGTCCCCCGGGGCAGGAGCACCACAGGGCTGTACCCAGGTAAATGCTGTGGAATTTTTCTAGTATATCTTTCTCCTTTAGCTGAAGGTGGGCCAGTTCACTGCTTTCAGTATTAAAAGTGGCTAAGGTGAATGAACTGATATACTTCATAAAATATAGTTCTGTATTCCCAGAGGCCAAGACGGAGGCAAGTGACTGTGTCTGATTAGTGGTTTATAAATAAGGGAAAGGTTACTGTTAAACTCAGAATGGTGTAATCCTGAAATACCCAAACTGAAAGAGCCTTGTAGGAAAAGGCTTACCTGAGCCACCTGGACAATGAGGCTTGTGAAACCCTGGACTGGGAATGATCTGTGTGCGAGTCAGGTACTTACTGTTTTCCTCCAAAGAATTGCACGGTATTGAGGGACACGCTGATTGTTCTGGTCAGAAAGGGTTACTGACAAGAAGAAAGGGCTCTTCTCTGCGTCATTTCCGATGTAATTCTGGTGGACTGGAGAAGAAACAGATTTAGAATCCAAGAGCGCAACTCCTTCTTCTAGGCAGAGAGGAGGGACCTTGTGGTGGTGTCCAGACTTTCCTACATGTGAGCTCAGGGAATGATAATCCCAAGCCCAACATGGGACAGAACCTGTTCACTATCTGATAATCATGCCTGTGACTGGTTCAGGAATCAATCCTGACTCAAATTCCCCTTTCCCTTGCCAGTGACTGGCTCAGGAGTGGACATGTGACCCAATGCTGGCCAATGAGAAAGAAGGAGAAATCTGATAAGAGACTTCTAGAAAGCCTTCTGACTCAAAAACCTTTTGGACAGCTGTCTAGATGTGATGATTGAATTACTACTGAAACCACCTTGTGATCCTGCGGAGGGCCAAGTTGCCACACTAAGGATGCAGAAGCAGAAAAGGGGAAAGATCCCGGGTCCTTGACATCACTGAGCCTTCGAATCACCCACTTCAGAGCCTCTTCTCCTTCTGGATTTCTCATTCTATACCTTCTCGTTTAAGCCAGTTTAGGGCAGGCTTTCTGTTACTGGAAGCTGATGGCACCAAACTCATGGCATCATTTTCTGTCAAATCATCACTGTGCTGGGTTTGCATTGGGGAAGGCGACAACCTTCCTGCTGATTTCTGTCTCTATAAAAGCTTCTATATTCCCCCACCAACTTGAAGAAATTCTGCTGTCCAAATACACAAACTTCTTAGAGGTTAGTGCATCAGGTTTCTAAAGACATCACTAAGGTCTGATTGCTCTCATTTCACAGCTCAAAGATCAAATATGCATTAGCTTAAGAAGCAACTTCTCAAACTCATTTAGGATCCTGAAACTAGTTTATCCTTCCATTGCCAGTGTCTTCTGTCACTAACACACTCCTGTTTTCCATCTTTTTGTGTATTTTCACTTGAGCCCTTTGTTCTAGAAGTATGATGTTGGAAAGCTCTTAGTGACTGAGCTCTTGGGATGTGTCAGGCACTGGGTTTAGTGCTATTTTTTCTTTTCAAACCTTCTAGGTAGGGACTAACACCTACTTTAAAAATAGGGAAGTGGACTCGCAGGAAGTGGAGAGTAGCTCCTGTAAGATCCTCTGTTAATAGATGCAAACCCGTTGTGTGGGTGCCTGAAGGCAGGGACCACGCTGCCTCTGTATTCTGTCCCCATTGCTCTGCAGGCTGCCTGGCAATAGCAGGCTACTCACGCTGAATGGCACCGGCACCCACTGTCTAATGCCCCTCTTGCTCCACATTGGCCCAGAAGCTTGGGGAACCAGTTTTCTGCCTCACTGCCTATGTTCAAAGCTCACTAAATTTGTTTTTCCACCTGAAAATTCTAGTCTCTCAAAGCCCTCATTCAGATTCTGTAATCCCCTTTAACTCCCCAGGGACAAAACAACTTGGAAAAAATCTAAATGACAAAACAAATCACAATCAAAAAAAAAAAAAAGAGGAAAGAAAAATTCCTAGGGCTGCGACTCCAAATAGCATCTTTTAATCTACAAAGCTTACTACTGACAGTGAAGTGAAATGCCCTGACCTTAGTGTCCCTAAATTGCCTAGTTTCCCTCATATATAGCACCAGAAATTACACTAGCACTCATTTTCATTTTGAGTATCTTTTCTTCCCAACCACTATAATGGCATAATTACCTTGTCCTAAAAAATACTTGAAATACCATCTGGTGTGGTATTCCGGGTTCTCTAAGTGCACGTCTGTTCTTCGCCAAGTACCTGGCAGAGCAGTCGCATTCTGTAATGGAACAAAGTTTGTGCCATTAAGAGCCTTACTTAGAAAGCGAATAAGCTGGAAATGAACCAGAAGCCAAAGAACCAGAAAAAAACCACTGTTCAAAGCAACACCCAGGGGCTCTTAACTTCATGTTCTCATTAGAAAAGACACTTGGTCTGAGTCTGCATCATGGAGGTGTTCCAGAGGCCCTCGGGTGCACGAGAGAGAACCGAGTGAGGCGGGAACTGATAGGAGTATAAGGTAGCTCTGTCAGAGGTTTCACAACATTTGGGGGTTGGTGCCCCCCAGAGTGCCAGCTGTTCGCTACCTGTCACAGGCACATTTCACCTCCAACACATCTCAGCCTCTGACCTCAAGCCCACAACTATGTAAAATTCTTAAGATATATTATAAAAATCACCCAACTGATGTGGAAAATATGGATGAACATAACAAGTAACTTTATCTGAAGATAATCATTATTAGTATTTGGGTATTTTTTCTATGCATACTCATATGCATTCTTCTTACCAAAATGAATTGTACTGAACATACAGCCTCTGGCTTGCCTTAGCTCTTATCCACGTCAATAAATATATTTCTACAATGTTAATCTTTTTGGCTCAGGTGACAGTCCACCCTGTAGACACAATATGACTATTTAACAATATCTGACCACTGTAAATAAAGTAGTGCTGAACACCTAATCCCCGGCTCGAATGCCAATGTGGCAGGTTATCCCTGGAGGACAAATTCTTGGAAGCCAAACTGCTCTGCCAAGGAGTAGGCACATCGCCAGGGATCTGTGACATGGTGCCACGATCAGAGCTCCCCAAGCCCTGATGGAGGTTGCCCCTTCCCATGCCCTTGATGTTTCCTCTTCATGATTTAATGGCAAAAATGTCATCTCAACGTTGTTTGGGTTTTTCTTTGTTCACCAACGGAATTGAACATTTCCTTTATACTTTTATTAATTATTTACAATTCTTTTGTGGGTTACCTGCTTATGTCCTTTGTCCGTTTTCTAATCGTTGTATATTATTTTTCATATTTATTTGTGAAAATTTGAAATAAAATGCAAATCATTTCTTTTCTAATAACTTTAATTTTTAACTTTGCTTATAATAATTTTGGGCACAGAGGGATGTTTTAAATTTCTCAGATTGTTCCCCTCCTGGCTCCTGTCTTTAGTATCATTACATAAAAAGGTTTCTCCATACCATTATTTTTAAAAATATATTTTTAGTTGTTGATGAACCTTTATTTGTTTATATGTGGTGCTAAGAATGGAACCCAGTGGCTTACACATGATAGGCAAACACTCCACCACTGAGCCCCAGCCCATCCATACCATTATTA